CTCTTATGAGAAACTAAAGGCACCTTACCACCCTTTGTTATTTTCATCAGCTGCTGCTTTTTAGATTATTCATCTTTAAAAGGGCTAAGATAAAAGAAGCCCAAAAGTTAACTCTTTTGCTCTGAGTGAGCAATGCCTGAAGTGAGAAGGCAGCTGTGTTACCCATCACCGAAACCTCAGCATTCCTAAAGGAAAGGGGAGCTGGGGTTTGTCCCCCTTCGAACAGCCTTTTGAAATGCTACAGCCACGTTAAACGCACCGGCAGTTCCTTAAGCGTAAGCAGAATGAATCAGGTTTGTGCTTCATTAAAAGCAGGCTCTTCACTGGTACAGGGGGAAAGATAATTCTGTGCTGCTTGCTGTCAAGATTTGGTGGATAAATTCACATAACATTTCAGAACGAGTAATTTTGTGATGTTTTGATTTGCCTTTGACTTTAAAATTCACAGGTAAAGTAAGAAACTGGCTTAATAGCAGAGCCACAATCATTTACACATGGAGTAGAATAATACCGGACAGGGCAGCCTAAGAAAATGCAGCTTACATTAATTTTAACCAACTAGGCATAGAAAAACCGTGACAGCAGCAGACAAGGAGTGATTGTGGCAGTTCTTGTGTTTGATGCATTTGAAGCCGCCTGCCTTCCCTCGCCCTCTCCCCTGTCCCTGGCAGCCATGTGCCATACTGTGCCCGCTGCCCTCCCAGCCTTGTTCCTCAGCTCCGGGAGGAGCGGGCAATAGGTATTTTCTCTGCCCGTCCCCTAAGGAACAGTGAAAAGAGTGCAGTTTTCTTTACTTCCAGAGGCAGGCGTAAGGTCTGCGCCAGGCACGCGCGTATGGACTCCTCGCTGCCTCCCCGCACTGCCTGTTTCGGCTGGATGTTCTTGACAAACCAGTAAAACAGACGGGTTCAATGAAGGCAGTCAGAAATGTAAAGCTCCGATTTTCCACTGATATTTCCTCATTTTACACTTTTTTTCAGCTCTGTTTGATGAGGCAGAGCTAGCTCCCGAAGAACACGAGCTTGGGGTCAGAATCGTACACCTCTGGCCAGGAGCCACCGTGCTCTGTCACTTAAGTACCGTCAGCCTGCCCTGTTGCTTCAGAGCGTCACCCATCCCAGTAGTAAACATCTGCTTTGGACAGCTTTTTCACCTTGCAGTAATTAAAACCCCGAGGTATCCTAAGCGCCTTGTTTACAATAAAACACGAGGAGACAATGAATATTTCAAGCCTTCCCAGTAAATGGTGGATAGTGTAATTATGTGAGCCTCAACTGCACAGGTCACGGAGAGTAAATACTTAGGCAGATCCTGCCGTTAAAAATCTCGGCAGATAAGCATGTTTTACAGATTAAAAAAAGCCACAGGATGGGTTGGTTTTTTTACCACTGGCCTACAGAAGGAATCTACAGGACATTAAATTAATCTTGCAGTCTTTGAAGAGTTTTAATCTCTTCTGAGGTTGTTTCCTGGCCGCGTAAGTGAAGGTATCTTCACAGATCTGGGGAGATGAAATGGTAGAATGGATCTAAAACCTGACTACAAATTAGCAGAGCACATTTTTAAACCAATGCCTCAGTAGGTGCATACCTTGCTGCGGAGTATGGGAAATCATCTCTGGCTCTGGAGCACACACCAGTCATGTTAACGTTTCCAGCCAGAACTAAACAGCCTTTGTCTCACACTGACAAGTTCAGAAGGTTTCATGAACCAACCGTGTCTTTGGTGGCTAGCCATGAAACGTACCGATGCAAAATATGATATTAGTAGCCTTACTTGAAATAACAAAATCAGGGAAATTCAGAATTAAGAGATATCCCGTCCTTAGCCGCTCTCTGGTGCTACAATATTAAAGCCGACTCTGCTAAACCCGGCTGTCCCCTCCTGCTGGAACTGCCACGCAGCGGCCTTTGCTACTTGCAAGACCCTACAAAGGTGATTCCCCGTGGCTGGAACTGCCTCAGTGGAAGAAGGGGTTTCCAGTCTCCAGTCCCTAAGGCATCCCTCACGGACCCATGGAAAGTCAAGGCCATCTGTGTGGAAGCCACCCCACTAGTAAAGGGCGCTGCATGCACTGAGACTGCCATCGCCGCCACTGGTGTTAGCATCCAGCTAGTTCCTGGGGAAGGTACCAGTGTAAGAAACAGCTCCTCTCTTCAGTACACTTGAGGAGCCTTGGGTCTGATTTACTCAAAGATTTAAATTTAATAGGGTTCAAATAGCAGGAAACACATTTTCTTGCCTTTTCCACACGACCAGTCTCAAAAGACTCAAAAAAAGACCCACAGTATTTCTTCCTTAACTGAAAGGGAGCAGCACGAGGCACCTCCACATCCCAGCCAGTGGTTTAGCCACTGGATTATAACCATGACAGGCTGCTGAATGACAGCACAGTATTGCTGCTCGGATAGAGATCCTGGTTGTAAAATACGTCACATGGATGTGGTTCCACCACCACTGCACTTGTCTGGTTCTACCACCACTGTACTTTGCTCGGTTTCATAATCCAAACGTTGATTGTAATGGAAATGCCTTTAAATTGTAGTAACCCCGGGTTTGAGTTGCACGTTATAGGAATTACCAGAGCAGGAACCACCCGCACTGATGGGGGAGCAGCCTTACGAGAAACAGCGCAAGTGCAGCAGCGACCCAAACTGAGCTGGCAACACCACACAGCCCCCCCCCTTCCGCTCCTGATGACACCCAGAACAGATGGAGCCCCAAGTCATGAGCTAAATGAACTTAATGGATATTTTGTGGATGTTTATGGACATCTTAAAGACATTTTACAGGGGTGGTCCATAGACTGAAGGAATGATACCTGTGTGTTATGTCAAAGGATGGGAAGGGGGGATGGTTAATGGTTATCTCGGATAGCGTGGCACCTGAGCGTGAGGTGAGTGGTATGGAATAAGGGCTGGAAAATGTGCTGGGTTTGGCTGGGATAGGGTTAATTTTCTTCACAGCAGCTGGTATGGGGCTGTGTTTTGGATTTGTGCTGGATACAGTGTTGATAACACAGGGATGTTTTGGTTACTGCTGAGCAGTGCTGACACAGAGTCAAGGCCTTTTCTGCCTCTCAACCCACCCCACAGGTGAGTGGGCTGGGGGTGCACAAGAAGAAGGAAGGGGGATGTTTGCAGTGATGGTGTTTGTCTTCCCAAGTAACCATTACGCGAGATGGATCCCTGCTTTCCTGGAGACAGCTGAACACCTGCCTGATGGCGGGAAGTGGTGAATGAATTCCTTGTTTTGCTCTGGTTGTGCACACGGCTTTTGCTTTCCCCACTGAACTGCCTTCATCTCAGCCCACGAGTTTTCTCACTTGTACCCTTCCAGTTCTCTCCCTAGTCTCACTGGGATGAGTGAGCGAGC